TAGATTCCCATCGACAAACCAATTCCTCTGGCGACCCGCCAAAACCCGGCAAAAACCATTCCATCGATTAGCCCCAAACGTTTCGATAATCGCATTATAAACCGGTCTCGATTTTCCCGCATTTACGGGGGACCAAGTCCTGGGGGGAGATGGACCTAACCTGGGTGCCAGGCTGAATCCACGGACTACAGGTAAAGCTCCTCGACTCCTGAGAGGCAAACATGCTAGCCTGAATTCCAGACTATTTTTATTCCAACATTTCATGACCAAACATGGCGACGGCACATTCAAGTTATATCAATTTATTTTATGCCGACACAGAGTACAAATACAGGACAGGACAATGCTCACTTTCACTTGAGTTAAGTGAGGAAAGTGGGGTAAAGTGCATTTCCTAACAGCAAAAGATCGGTGGCATGTCAGGACTATTTCCACGGCCTGTATTGGCCAGATCCACGACTCCAGAGTCAACATGCTAGCCTACATGCCAGTCTGTTTCAACGGCCTACACAGGCAAGTTACTCGGCTCCAAGAACAACATGCTAGCCTGGATTCCAGACTATCTGTTTGCAGGGTGCCTCCAGGGCCAACATGCAAGACCACACACGAGACTGATTTAAGGGCATGCACAAGCAAACTATCCTTCTGGTAGATCTGCAAAAAAATCTGCCCTTCACACTCCACCTTAGATCCCACATTTCTGCTTAAACCCCGAATCTCTAACCCGCCCGGGTAGTTGGGTCCGTTCCAGTACCTGCGGTAATAGATCAGGGAATTTTTGCTCCATGATGGTCAATATGCAAGTGTTGGTTTAACCATGGTTTAACTCAGTATGTGGATACATGATTAGAATATTAGCTTTGAAAAATCGGGTTTCCAAGCCTTAAAAAACTGCATTGGATGCTTAAACCCCGAATCTCTAACCCGCCCGGTTAGTTGGGTCCGTTCCAACACCAGCAGTAATAGATCTGGCTGCGAAGCTTATAAATGTTTCATAGAAACGGCTTCTTTAGTTTCAAGATGGCCTGTAATACGCAGGGTTATTGATTAAACTGGTCGTCACGATTGGATGGCATCCGGCCATTGAAAGTCCAATAAGAAATGCGCCGTTCTCCCGATTCTGAAATTTCCAATACTCCTCTTATAAGGCCACACCAATTTAGTTTGTTGGTTCTCAGATTAGCCTCTTCATTTTTGTCTGATTTTGAACAGAAAAAAATTTTGGTTCTGAATCACTCAAAAATGCTCATATTTGCCCCCCCCCCACGGTTGAGGAAAGTCATTTTCTTACTCTAGATGTTACAGTTCTTTCATCTGTCAATGCATTGAATTGATCAAAAGTTCAAAATTCATTGTTTGAAAACTAAGCCAGTCTTTTGTGTTGACTCCATGGCTCTTATCGTTGCATTTGGGGCTATAATAGGATGCCAAACCCTGTTTTTATTATAATTTTTGCCCTGTTCCTTCATATTTTTCTGGAAAAATCCGAGAACCAACAAATTAAATTGGCATGGCGTAGGGTTTTTATGCAACTCAGGTTTTTGGCCTTGTTCCGCAACACTCGAAACTAGACATCAATTTCTCCATCATTGTGTTCATTATTATAATTAGGGACGAAGCGGTCAATTTCATAGCACTTTGCAGACGCCATTTTGTAAAGCGGTCGGCAGAATGTGATCGTTTTATTGAATTTTTGTAAAGTGCTTTGCCTTAAAAATCGAGTAACTCAGGATTGAACAACTTCACATAAGTATACTTCTTGAGTATCACAAGTATCGTTCTTATCAAGTATCTTGTAGAGAGAGAAATAGAGATGTAAAACTACATCTATATCTACCTATCTGCTAAAGTATCAAATCATTTATCTATCTATCCACGTATCTATCTATCTATCTGTCTATCCATGTATCTATCTATCTATCTATCTGTCTATCCATGTATCTATCTATCTATCTATTCATGTACCTAGCTATCAATCTATCTACATGTACATATATATATATATATATATATATATATATATAGAGAGAGAGAGAGAGAGAGAGAGGAGGAGAGAGAGAGAG